TATATATATAGTATATACAGAAAAGAACAAAATAATCTTAACAAAAGGGTTGCAAATTTTTCTAATCTAAAGCTGAACCTGAGCAAACCGTTGAAATAAATACATGTGAACTGTTTTATCTGCAAAGGATTTGTAATTCTGTTTGGCCAATCTTGTGGTGATACTGCCCCCCCTAGATAGTACAGTCCTTTGTCGCTCTGTTTGTGACCTCTCTGCACACTACACTGCAGCTGAGCGTTACACCCTAGTCTAAGAACTGCCCTAGTCTGTGATTGGACCAGGATAGAGCAGCAGCATTCTTATTCTCTGTAGAAGCCGCAGCACCAGATGATTTGAAATATAAGGCAAGCATTTGTTTCTTCTTTATACTGAGGACTGCAGCGGACGCTAGGCTCTCCCATTATGTCTATTTACATACCTAATACTAGTATGTCATTATGAAAATGCCTTTGCCTTAGTTATAGGTCACTTCCCATTTTGCTACCATTTAATGAATATGTTCCATTGTTGTAAGGGACAGCCTGATGAAAGATTATATGGTGAGATACTGTAGCTATTTGTTTATGGATTAGTTCCATAACACACCATATCCACTTTTTTGGTTTTGATAAAGAGCTGGGCTAATATCATGCAACATAAAAATGTGTAACAACCACCACTGTATTCTACAAGGTCTCTGCTTTCAGGAAATATATAATTCGGGGGGGGGTTAAGTAATTTGAAGGCCTAAAATGTGGATTATAACGTTTGCCAAAAAAAATGATCTGGCAGTGAAAGGCTCAAACATACCATAGATCATGACAAGGGGTAGCCAAACTCTGGACCTCCAGCTGTGGTGAAACCACAAATCCCATCATGCCTTTGCCTCTGGAAGTCATGCCTATGGCTGTCAGAGTCTTGCAATGCCTTATGGACTTGTAGTTCCACAACAGCCGGAGTGAGGCAAAGTTTGGCTACCCCCTGGATGATGGTATAACAAGGGCAGAGTGTTTGCGGATATGTGGGGATGACACTGTAAAAAGGTCAAGTAATAGCAGCAGTTTATTTTTTGTCCTGCAGGTGGCGACCTTTGTGGGTCCGGTAACTGCCATCCCGGTTCTCCTCTTTTCAGGATTCTTTGTTAGCTTTGACACCATACCTGCTTATCTTCAGTGGATGTCTTACATGTCTTATGTCAGGTACGTTTTTAGTCCTATGCTGGACCTCTTGGTGTAAACCTACTTTGTGTTACTGAAATCAGATCTTGTTGCTCTTTAAAACTATCTGTCATGAAGGAGCAAAGTCTAGGACATCCTGCATCCAGTGCCCATCCCATGTCCAGATTAATGTTACAATGCTATACTAATTTAGCTCCCCGTGTACCTATCGTCAAAGTGTATCCATAGCCTTAACGTTTTGTTTTTCTGAATAAAGTATGAAGAATTAGAACAAACAGATCAAGAGGTGAGGGATATCTTCCAATGAGGACACCCACTTGTTCTGGGGACAGCTAAGAGGGGAATTCCACTTACTTTGTAGAGATTTCCTCTCACTTCTTGTTGCATCTCCGAGACAGGAACTGAAGGGGAATCTTCCCCATTGGATACAGACAGCAAGAAATAAATGGGTTTTATTCACTTCCCTACTCTGTCCAAACCTAACAAACAGGTTTGCTTATGCAGACATTTTACTAAAGCCTACAAGCAGGGCTGGATTTACTCTCTCTGCTGCCCCAAGGCCAGGTTCCTCAATGCGCCAACCCCCCCCCCCCCACAGACAGGGCTAAATGTAGAAAACAACTACCCGCCAGGCACCTGGAACTACAAGTCCCGGGCATCGAGAGATAGGAATTCCACACCCCTGCTGCCCCTTTACTCCCCGCTGCCCCAAGGCCGGGCCTTGGTTGGCCTTGTGGGAAACCCAGCCCTGCCTACAAGCCTCATGTAGAAGTCTACACAAGAGTGTGGCATTGAAATGATGGGAGCCAAAAGATCTGATTTTCCAATGCTGATTTCTCAATAGTGGCGGCATGTATTTACATAGTAAATATAAAATGTATAAAGTTTCAGATGGCTCTACAGCACTGTGATTTTACTTTATAAGAGATTAGATTTCCTCTAACAATCACCTGTAATCACCTGTAAACTCTGGAGAGGGGAGAACAGGGGTAACCTGTTCCTTTTATTCCACAGACATCGAATGACCTCTTCCACTCAACTGCCCCCGGCTATGTATCAAACTAAGGCCGCTAACGCAGGACATTACAGTGGCTTTCCCACATTGTATCTGCATTTTACAAGTCATTGTATGAAATGCAGAGCACAGTGTGAAGCCTGTAGTGTTCTTTAGAGTGTTCTCTGATTCAGAGTTATGAAGAAAGCAAATCAGAGAGCGCATTTGTAAAGCACCATTGTGCTTTATGAATGTGACTGAGTATTTTTTCAAAAAAGCAGCGGTATAGCCAGTTAGGCCACATTTCTGGTCTAAATTTGGTCCTCTGAGTGTCCCTCAGATTTAGTAATTGAGCACCACTGTTGTAAATTTCTGTTTCTCTTGATTCCCGCTGTGTCTTTTCCAGATATGGATTTGAAGGGGTGATATTATCAATTTATGGCCTCGACAGAGAGGATCTTCACTGCGACAAGGATGAAACGTGCCATTTCCAGAAGTCGAAAGCCATTTTGAAGGAACTTGATGTGGAGGACGCCAAACTCTACCTAGACTTCATCATCCTCGGAGTCTTCTTTGTCGCGCTGCGTCTCATAGCCTACTTTGTCCTCCGATATAAAATCCGGGCAGAGAGATAAAAACCCGGGAAGGCAGTAGAGATAACTGAGACTAGATATTACCAAGGGAAATACAGAAGAACCGACTTGTCCTACTACACTGGCCAAGCTATGGATGATTGTGGAGATGCCACCGAGACCTAACTGTTGATCCTTTTTGGGTTAGAACTTTTGTTGGGTAAGCTTCACAAAGTCTGCAGAGATTTTTCTTGGGCCATTTTCTAAAGACACTTTCTAGATTTAACTAGGAAGAAACAAGAGGGAATCGTAGACACTAGCCATCTCTTGGAGACTGACCTTGAATACAAAGTCCTAAAATATTCTTGCAGCTAAAGACTGTGCTATGGGGTTACGCTATAATCTGGAGGCCCGTTCCCGTGGATGTCTCTAAGTTTCCGTCAATGTGTAAGTTTCGCTCATGAGCAAGATGTCTTCTGCATCTCTTGTTGAGTTTGCAAGCCATCTTGACAAGCTTACCCTTATTACCTAATTTAGGATGTTGTGTTTGTTTTGACAGAGCTGGTCTCGCATTTAAGTAAATTAACTGTACTAGCCTCAGCTTTATTTTTTTGTTCCAAAATCTTGTTAGAAAGCCTCTTTTGCAAAGTTTCGGCTTAGCTTAGCTGGCTGGATTTTATGACAAAATGACAAAAGAAGGTGATGTATCCAAAAACTGTGGTCAATGAGCAATGACCACAGTAAACAATAAGTGATGATTCCTGAATGTGAAGAATGTAAAATTTGTCTGGGAAAAGCCAGACCACCAAAGTATATACCATGTCAGTTGTCACCTAACGTCTGCCACTTAATGTATACAGACATAGGTTCCTTTTCATTATATTTTGATACCACAGGAAAGTTTTTTTTATCATGCTGGGTTATTAAAAGCATGAATAAGTCGGCCACCCTATTATTATACCGCTCAGTATTCAAAGAATTGTGGGTAAAAAAGTATGCCCAATGTGCCCACCTCTCACATCATTGGTCTTCCCTATAGGCCCTACTCCCTCTTATCCCATGATTGCACTCATAAACAATATGGTCATAGCTTTACTGAAAGAGTTTGAAGCAGCTTCCAGGTACGGAAGAGCATATGACTCATAACCCTCTTCCTCTCATGTGACGGAGCTGGTTCTTGGTGATTGGCTCTGCAAAGTCATGTGGGGGGTATGGTCAAATAAAGACCTTATTCAAATTTTAACAGGGTTCAAATACCTTCCTTGAAGAAAATACTGCTCCAAGTTACATTCAGTAAAGGCCACATATGTTAAGACCTAGATATTTGGTAGCATCATCATTGATGGTGAGGAGGCTTCAGACCAGCTATGAGATCATGTCACCAAGTGCCTAGGGGGTTTCATACCTTTTTTAGCACAGAAGAGAAGCCGGAGCAGCATGTTCTCCAAGAAAGGTGAATATTTTAGTTCTTTTGTTGCTTGCGATTCATCCACCCCAACAAGACTGTTAACTTAGCTCAAGTGCGTCCAATCAGAAATCATCTCCTGACAACAGTAAACAAATGGTAATTTGTTGCACATCACCATTCTTCTTCGCACTGCTTTCATGAATAGTTTACTAGTACGCTGCAATAACATGCAGTAACCCACGATGACCAACCGGAATGCAGCGTATGCTATTTCATCTAAACAACAAGTTGGCTGGATTGCTCGCTATTAGAGGCTGAGCAACATAGCTATATGCATTGGGTTTTTGAATGTGCCCAAGAATGGAAGCCATTTTCTTTTTGGTCAGCATATAACTTCATCCCATTAATTATAGAAGAGATATTGAAGGTACTTTGTATTTTTTTGGCTCAGTTGTGTTAAACCCACCTGGGAACGCCATAACTTCCTTGGTTGCACTTTATAATTTGTGTTTCAGTCATGTGTCTAGTCCCTAGGGGGAAAAAACAACTCCTTCCTTGTGCACTGTATATTTTAACAACAGGAAGGTTAAAGTAGATGGAAACCCAAGCTCTAAACTCTCATAGCAGCTGAAACAAGTACCTTCAAAAGTCATTTTTCATATTTTTTAATCTGCAGATTTCATTAAAATAACACCTGGTGGTCCTGCCATGGAAGTCCTTGTTTAGGCACTTCCTGTTATGAGCTGACAGTGCTCTTTATCAGTTGCTCTACTGCTTTTTTCAGTAGGGACTAGAAGGGGTCATGCCAATGCTCAAAGCACAGGCATGTTTCATAGCTCCATTATCTTCAGGAAATGCACCCTGAGAAATGATGTGCAGAAGTTGCTGGAGTTTATGTAGGCAGTAAGTGGCTGCAAATCAGCAACACTGATATGCAACAAAGAATGCAAAACAATAGGTAAAAAGGGTATTTTATTTAATAATAAAGTGTTTTAGATATGCAGTGCTTTAGCTAACCAAGTATCCTTCAGTTAGGGATAAACATCTACTTTAACGTGATATTACCGGCCCGATTGTTCCGTCAACACAAGCTCGCAAATGATTTCACTGTAGAGCAACTTTAGCCTGATTGTTCTTCTTTGTACGAATCTCATTCATTGACACAAACTACCTCAACTAGTTGTACAAATCCAGGACACTCTGGGCCTCATGCTTACAGGTAACTCAAAGGAATGCCTATGCAGCAGATAGCAACCAATCAGACATCTCCTTTGGGAAGCTTAGGAACAGAGAGGATGAAGCTGGTTGGTTTCTATAGGCAGCTCAATACTTCTTTGAGCCAAGAGGTCCACCATTTAGTGAAAGTATTTGCTGTAGCATATTGAGCAAAGCTATACCATAGTAGAATGTATCTAGAATGCTTCTTGCATGTACAATCGGCATGCACACTAGCGCCATCATTGATGCTCCCCTTTACACAAGCATGCACTGCATCCAGATCCAGCATCCATGATGGCTACCACATAGGTAATTTCTCGGTTTCAGCCACGTCCACAGCAGCGAACTTTTAGCAAGATTTCGATTTGCTTCTATTTTTATTTATAGAGTTAATTGTAAAAGATACGTAGAATGCAATAGATAGAAATCCTTTATTGTTCTCTTACTTGAGTAAAAGATTTGCAGCAATCCTAATATAT